AACCTAATTAGTAAGCAATTTTAATGTTTACCAGGTGTGAAGCCTAGCCTAGAACACACCAGGCAGAAGTGTATATAAGAGCTGACTCTCCAGCATAGCTGCAGAGTGTGGCTAACTCCACATGTCCCTCAGCCTTACCTTACTTAAGCAGGAAAGTTGTACAGTAAGAGTCATAGTGGCATTTTATGAAGCATTTAGGAGGCCTAACAACCTTTGAATTGTACAACATTTCTTGCATAAATTCCCTTTCACAAATCCTTTCATGACTTACACAGATCATCTGAGGCATTCTTGGACTTTTTGACTTGCCCTAAACATCCCTCCCTTAAACAACCAGTCATTTTACTTTAGGACAATAATTTACTATACAAGATCCTTTTTTATATAAAATATTTCTTTAGTATCTTCTTTGTATAACTAGGGGGCATGGCTAATTACACATGTCCTTAGGCCTTGTATTAGAATCTAATGGCTTTAAGGTAGGTAAATTGAACAATTTTTAAAAGTTAAAGAAGCAGTGTATGACCTTTAAGCATTTAGCAAACTTAATATCTAACCTGTATAATTTAGACTAAATATTTTTATTAATAATTTTTAAAGCTATTTTTTTATTTCCTAAAGATTACTGAAGTTACATGAACTAAAAGGCATTACAGTTTTTATTTTGCTTTCAAAATATTTAAGTACTTATTTTTGTTTAAGCCATTTAATTGGAGCTCTTTTATATAAACATGAAACACAATGCATATATAGTTACGCAGAAAGATAGAAGAAGATTACTACAGTTGTTGTAAGATTTTTCAGTTTTTAAGTTTCTTAATTGGATTACTGGCTTTAGCGTGGGAGTCCTTGGAAGAACAGGGCCAGGAAAGGGGCCTCTGGTGCCTCCTAGTTTTCCCAAGGAGTCCATACTATTAGAGCTTGAATATCTTCTTTTAATTAAACTGATTTTAACCATATAATAAAGTCCTTTTAGAATTTCTTATGCCAAATGGCCAACATTTATGGCTTTTGAACTTTACCAAAGGTAACCTCCTAAGTGCTTAGGGAAAGGAAAATTTAAGACAGTCCATGGAGGAGAAGAGACTAGACAAGGTCATGCAGATATTAAACTAGACACAACTTACTGCCTAGACATTAAACTAGAAACAACTTACTACCTAGAAGGGGAACTGAGCCCAACTGCCACTGTGAAAATGCAAAACCCTAGTTGTGGAGCTACTCCACAGGGCAGTCTCCACTTTCTTTCCCAGAAGGAGTCTAGAGTAGTTAACTTTGAGCTTGCAAAGGCTTTTAAATTTTTAATATGATTTTTAGAGCTAACTATTACATGAACCCTAAAATTCCTGTTACTTGGAAGGCAGAGACCAAGAGAAGGTACCACCATGTGGTTAAAAGATCAAGCTTCTACAGACATAAAACAAGGTGGAGACTTCATCCAGTTTTTTTGTTTGTTTCAGGACCTGCAGCCAAGTTTGTTACTGACCAGCTTGCTGGGTTGTCTTGAAAAGTGGGCTTACAGGTGTTCTAAGCCTGTGTTTTATCCTGAAGTACCCCTTGACGCAGAAAAGCAAATTCGTAGTACAAAATACCCCAGCTTAAGACTCTTAGAATTCTTTTTTGAAGTAATCAAAGATTTACAGGGGAGATAAACACTGATTTAAAAAAAAAATCATTCATTTAACCATTTGCACAGGGACAGAGAAGCCAGAAATCTGACTAGTAAGAAATTCTTACCCATTTGCCAGCATGCCAGGCTTCTGGGTTCCCTTTCCCTGAGTGATCCTAGTGATCCAGCTTGCGGCACCATCACCCTGGTTGCCAAGCCACATCATAAAGAAAATTATTTTTTTTCATTCTGGCCAGAGCGAAATCCATGGGATAAAACATAGACATTATCCACTCTGCTTAGTACCCAATATCAAACTGGCAAGGCTTAAATTTGCAGTTGGGCCCCGTCACCTTTAATTTAACCTCTGACCTGGAGTTTTAACACGTGGTCCCAGGGCAAGATGATTGTCCTGAGTAACAGAAAAGATAGGAAATGAAAAGTAGAGAAGGAAAGCATTGCCCATGGCAGGGTGAGGAAGGTGAACGGCTTAGGGAGGCAAGAGAAAAGACCCACTTATTGAAGCTCACAATGAAAATTTAGGCAGCTGCTTGTCGATAGCAAAGGGACCTTTTCCAGCAGTCCCATGAGCTCTCAAGTTTCCCTTTTTAGGGAGGAAAAAGCTCTCTGTGACCCATGATCCTGTATATGCCTAACCCTGTCACCCATACCCATCAGCAAAGAGTGAAGGCAGATTAATCCAAAGAGAATAGCTTTTAACATCCCATAGTGCCAAACCTGTTCTTAGCTGAGGGGGACTTTACCAAGGGGAGCCTTTAACCCCCTAAATCTTATAAGGGTTGGTCCTCTAACCAAAGGTCGATCAAACGTCCTTGTCTTTTATTAAGAGGAGCGTCTAACTCACGCTGTCTTAGAAGAGACTCTAACTCCCCTAAGTTGGGCCTCTAACCCAATTCCATTCTTTAACTGGGTATATATACCCTGCTTACCCAAAGTCATCCAGTCAGTAGTGCTGCAGTCTGTTTCTTTTGGGTCAGAGGATCTCCTCAGTATTGTCCCTTTCATGGTTTGTGAGAAAGATGTTACTGGAACCCCCCCACTTACCCAAAATTAGCCTTTAGGTTGGGAGTTTTTGCAGTATAGTTGCTTCTGTGATTGACAGAAATATGTTACAGGACCCCAACACTTACCCAAAGGTAGCCGTTGGATTAGGGTTTCTGCACTGTAGTCCTTCTGTGGTCACCAGAAATATGTTACAGGAAAGGGGTCCTGATCCGGACCCCAAGAGAGGGCTCTTGGCTCTCGCACAGGAAGGAATTTAGGGCAAGTCCACAGTGCAAAGTGAAAGCAAGTTTATTAAGAACGTAAAGGAATAAAAGAATGGCTACTCCATGGACAGAGCAGCCCCAAGGGCTGCTGGTTGCCAATTTTTGTGGTTATTTCTAGATGATACACTAAACAAGGGGTGGGTTATGTATGCCTCCCCTTTTTAGACCATATAGGGTAACTTCCTGGTGTTGCCATGGCATTTGTAAACTGTCATGGCTCTGGCAGAAGTGTAGCAGTGAGGATGACCAGAGGTCACGCTCATGGCCATTTTGGTTTTGGCTGGCTCCTTGACTGCAACCTGTTTTATCAGCAAGGTCTTTATGACCTATATTTTGTGCTAACCTCCTATCTCATCCTGTGACTTGGAATGCCTTAACCATCTGAAAATGCAGCCCAGTAGATTTCAGCCTTATTTCACCCAGCTCCTGTTTAAGATGGAGTTGCTCTGGTTCGCATGCCTCTGACAAATGTAACCTTCATGAAAGTCAAGAATATATTGTTCAACCTTTCAAATCTTAGTGTTTAGCTTAGTGTCTGGCACATGCTACACTGTAATCATTTGTTGTATGAATAAAATAATTCTACATTATGTTTTCAGTGGCAAATGTTTTCTGAATTTTTACTGTTTACAGAGCCAAGCCTGGTTCTTGAGAACACACTGTTGAATAAGGCAACAGGGTCCTGCTTTCAAGGTGCTCCAATCTACCAGAGGATACAATTATGTTCCTAGGCAGATACAAAATAAGCATGCTTTTGTACAAGTAGATTGAAAATCATATAATGCAATTAATTTTATAGGAAAAGCATAGGGTACTTCTGGATGAAATAAAAGGGACAAATTTGGGGGCACATTTATTTTAATGAAGCTCATTTGACACAGGCTCTTTCCAATTTTTCACGATTTTATACATCTTTATAGATGTATATTATGTATAATCTAACATATTCTGTAGACTGGAGTCTTAGGACTTGCTGGGTCAATGATCGTTACACAGTTTTGAGATTTGGGATTTTACTGCCAAATTGCTTTTCTAATATTAAGTGGTATATTTCCTATTTCAAAGTGTTTTTGCCATCATTGGCATCATTGTATTTGAAAAGTTGACAATTTGTATGAGAATAATAGTGTCTCATTATTTTAATTTTAACTGCAGTGATTATTAGTGAAGTAAAAACTTTTCTTGAACCTGTATTTGCCATTTTTGTATTTGGTTTATCAAAGTGCTTCGTGTCCTTAACTTATATAAGTTTTTAATGTAAATTTATATTTATGCATATGTTTACATTGAGGTGTTCAGCTTTTACTTGATTTATAACATTTCTTTATAAGTTATAGAAACAATGCCATTATGATATATGACTTTACTGTATCATTATATATGATAATGCTAACTTCATTATCCTGTATGGTCTATTTTCCCAGCTCTTCATTTACTTTAAATTCTTGTTGTCTTTATGTTTTTGATGTTGAAAGATTACATATTTAATCTTTTAAATATCAAAGTTTTAATTTAGAACTTAAAAAGACTTTTTTTTTGCCTAAGATTATGAAAATAATCATCCATCATTTTCTTCTAGCACTTACCTGCTTTCATTTTTTTCATGGTTGAAAATTGATTGTGGTGTAAAACGTGAAGTGGAAATAATGTTAATTGGGTTTTCCCAAGAACGCTGCTCTTTACACATTTTTCTCCCTAATTTGATCTTCTAAAATTATTTGAATGTAGATGGGACACTCCAATTTTTAGCCGCTCAAAGACCAGAGGGCCCTCCAGAATGGTCGTTATTCATTTTTCATGCTCTTTTGTGGAATGTTTGGCATATGACTAAGTTACAAATAATGGATGAAGACTGAAGCCTTAGGTCTAACTTCCAGAAAGTATACTTGGAGAGTAGGGATCATGCAGCTTTCTTTTTTTTCTTTTCTGCAAGGTAAATTTCAGACATCATATTTTTAGCTGGAGAATCCATGTTGGTGAAGAACCACACACACTAGGATAGCAATGCAGAAAGCTCAACATATCTGGTGTCCCCAATGACCCCGTGGAACTTCTAAGTCCTCCCAGACCGCTTGCTTCTGACTTTTCTCCCCTTTTCTTCACATCAGTTGTTTAATGTGCCAATGATGTAACAAGGTTTGAGGAAGGCACGTCTCCCACATGAGCGTGAAAACCCAGTCATCATGCTTATAAATCACAGAATGATCTACTTCTGGATTTTTTTAGATAAGAAAACAAAACCGTATGTTTTAAAGCCACTATTAATTTAGCTTATCTTAGCTATTTCAATATCATGTTATTTTATAGTTTGCATTTTTACTCTACTTCACAGTTTTCATTGTCTTATCTCTTCTCATTTTGAGGAATCTTTTGTTTGTTTCACCTTCTCATGATTTAGAAGTTAAATACTCTCTTCAGAGTCTTCTAGTAATTGACTTTAAATTTTAAAGATACATTCTTTAACACATTTTTCTTTAGTTATCGAGGAATTTGATCATTTGTCCTCATCAAAATAGCATGATAAGTTTGCACTTTTATATTTGTCTTCTGCCACGCTACACTTTGCTAATACAACCCATGTAATTACTCTTAAATTATTTATAAGAATTTTATATATTTTTTCTTTTTAAGTTTACTTTGTATCATTTGTATTTGGGTTTGTAATAATACTTACTTAGACTGAATTTGCTGCAGGGACAATTTTAGTTCTTGATATTATTTATTTTCTAATACAATGTTCTCAGGCTTGTAATCTTAATTTTTCTTTCTTTTTTTTTCTTTGACACAGGGTTTTGCTCTTTCACTCAGGCTCGAGTGCAGTGGCACACTCTAGGCTCACTGCAACCTCTGCCTCCCAATTCTAGCAACTCTCAGGCTTCAGCCTTTGGAGTAACTGGGATTACAGACGTGCACCACCACGCCCAGCTAATTTTTGTATCTTCAGTAGAGGGGATTTCACCATGTTGGCCAGACTGGTCTTGAACTCCTGTCCTCAAGTGATCTGCCCGCCTTGGTCTCCCAAAGTGTTGGGATTACAGGCATGAGCCACTGTGCCTGGCCTCTTTCTTTCTTTTCTTAAAGACATCTTTAGATTATTTTTTCCTAAGAAAGTTATTATTATAAGACCTCATGTAAGATCTTAAGTGTTTAAAAATATTTTTCCCTTTGTTGGAATTGAAAATTCTTAGGTTCTACATTTTTTCCTCAAAACTCTAAATATTTTTTGTGTTTGAAACTTAATGCTATATACAAGTATAAGATCATCTTGACTTCATTTTTTCTTAGTAACCAGCTTTTTTCCAAGTGAATGCTTACAAGATGTCTTTTTGTTTTGTAGTTATAAAATAGTTTCAGAATGTTTTATGTATAATTTTTATATTCATCTTTTTTTTGTGGATCATGGGGAGTGAGTCTTTTTGCTTGAACACTTAAGACTTTTTCAGCTCAAAAACATTTTATTTGTTCATGATTTTGGATACTGCTTTGTTTCTAATTATCTTGGTATTCTCCTAAGAAAGACACTAAATTAATTAGTTGATTTTCCAACCTCTCCCTCAAGATGATCATCTTGCTCATCATTTACATCTTTGTTTTTTCCATCTCTTTTAAAACATTCTGAAATTTGCCCTCCACCAGATGTCTTTGATTTGTCATGGTTACATCTGCTTTTCCTGTGCTCTTTTTCTCTGCTATTAGCCTTGTAGTCTCTCTTCTCTGGCCCTTCCTGCGCACAACATCTGCCTCCTTTTATTAGTTAGTTATTATGATTTTAAAATCTCAGCTTGAGATTTAATTGAATTTAATCTTTTAATCTCGTCTTGGGTTCACGTCAACCTATTCATTTTTTGTGGCTCTTTGAAGAAGCCAGGCTGTCTGGTGGCTGTTGAAAACACCCAGTTTCCTAGAACTTAATTCTGATCCTTTCAGTAGATAATTTTCAGAGATTGGTTCTGTTTCTGAGTCTATAATTGTTCTTCCCTATTTCCTTAGCCTCCTATTGTTTGCAAGGCCCCAAGCTGTTTTTAAAAAAATTTAATTTCATTTTAAGTTCCATGATACATGTGCAGGACATGCAGGTTTGTTACACAGGTATACGTGTGCCATAGTGGTTTGCTGAACCTATCAACCCATCACCTATATGTTAAGCCCCTCATGCATTAGCTATTTATCCTGATGCTCTCACTCCCCGACTCCCTAACAGGCCTCAGTGTGTGTTGTTCCCCTTCATGTGTCCATGTGTTCTCATTGTTCAGCTCCCACTTATAAGTGAGAACATGCAGTGTTTGGTTTTCTGTTCCTGTATTAGTTTGCTAAGGATAATGGCTTCCAGCTCTATTCATGTTCCTCAAAGTACATGATCTTCTTCCTTTTTATGGTTGTATAGTATTCCATGGTATATATGTACCACATTTTCTTTATCCAGTCTATTATTGATAGGCATTTATGTTAATTCCATATTTTTGCTATTGTGTGCTGCCATGAACATACACATGCATGCATCTTTATAATAAAATGATTTATGTTCCTTTGGGTAGATACTTAATAATGGGATCGCTGAGTCAGATAGTATTTCTGGTTCTAGGTCTTTGAGGAATTGCCACACTGCCTTCCACAATGGTTGAACTAATTTACATTTCCACCAACAATGTAAAAGCATTCCTATTTCTCCACAGCTTCGCCAGCATGTGTTGTTTTTTGACTTTTTGAGAATCATTCTGACTGGTGTGAGATGGCATCTCAATGTGGTTTTGACTTGCATTTCTCTAGTGATGTTGAACTTTTTGCATTTCTCTAATAATGTTGAGGTTTTTTTGGTGTGTTTGTTGGTTGCAGAAATGTTTTCTTTTGAGAAGTGTCTGTTCATGTCCTTTGCCCACTTTTTAATTGGGTTTTTTGTTTGTTTGTTTTGTAAATTTGTCTAAGTTTGTTGTAGATTCTGGATATTAGACCTTTGTCAGATGGTTAGATTGTAAAAATTTTCTCCCATTCTGCAGGTTTTCTGTTTACTCTGACAGTCTTTTTTTTTTGGGCTGTGCAGAAGCTCTTTAGTTTAATTAGATCCCATTTGTCAATTTTAGCTTTTGTTGCAATTGTTTTTGACATTTTCATCATGAAATCTTTGCCTATGTCTATGTCCTGAATGGTATTGCCTAGATTTTCTTCTAGGATTTTTATAGTTTGGGGTTTTAAATTTAAGTCTTTAATCCATCTTGAGCTGTTTTTTTGTATAAGGTATAAGGACTGGGTCCAGTTTCAGTTTTCTGCAAATAGTTAGCCAGTTTTCCCAGCACCATTAATTAAATAGGGAATCCTTCCCCATTGTTTGTTTTTGTCAGGTCTGTTGAAGATCAGATGGTTGTAGATGTGCAGTCTTACTTCTGACATCTCTATTCTGTTCCATTGGTCTATATGTCTGTTTTTGTACTAGTACCATGCTGTTTAGGTAGTTGTAACCTTGTAGTATAGTTTGTATGGGTAGTATGATGCCTCCAACTTTGTTCTTTTTGTTTAGAAATTTTTTGTTATACCAGCTTTTTTTTGGTTCCATATGAATTTTAAAGTAGTTTTTTCTAATTCTGTGAAGAATGTCAATGGTAGTTAAATGGGAATAGTACTGAATCTGTAAGTTACATTGGGCAGTATGGCCATTTTCACGATATTAATTCTTCCTATCCATGAACATTGAATGTTTTTCCATTTGTTTGTGTCCTCTCTGATTTCCTTGAGCAGTAGTTTGTAGTTCTCCTTGAATAGGTCCTTTGTTTCTCTTGTTAGCTGTATTCTTAGGTATTTTATTCTCTTTTTGGCAATTGTGAATGAGTTCATGCATGATTTGGTTCTCTGCTTGTCTATTGTTGGTGTATAGAAATGCTTGTGATTTTTGCACATTGATTTTTTATCCTAAGACTTTGCTGAAGTTGCTTATCAGTTTAAGATGCTTTTGGGCTACCCAAATTTTTTTTTCTCCTTAGTCATAAAGGAAAAAATGATCTGGATTAGGCATATAATATGATTCATATATACATACATATATATATATATATGTATATGTGTGTGTGTGTGTGTATATATATATATTTATCTCCAGCCTGATCTGTTTCCTGAACTCCAGATTTATAGACCTGACTGTCCATTCAGCATCTCCCTATTAGGCATATTTCACCATGCTTCTCTCACAATCTTTCTCATCTCTGAAAATTACAACTCTATTCTTCCAATCATTCAGGCTAAAACCCTGACTTTATTCTTTTTAAAAATTGTAAAAATCAACTTTATGACGTATATGTCCAGTAAATTGTAACATTTAAAGTGTACAACTCAATGAGTTTGGGTATACACCCATAAAGCCCTTGCCACAATTAATTTACAGAACCTTTCTATCTTTCTTTGTCACCCATTACACCCTTCAAGTCTGTCTGCAGGAGACCACTGATTTACTTTTCGTCATGACTAGTTGACATTTTCTGGAATTTTATATAGATGGAGTTATACAGTATGTGCTGCTGTTATGCCTCATTTACTTAGAGTGAATATTTTGATATTCATTCAAGTTGTGTGAAATAGTAGCTTACTTCTTTGTGTTGTGATTAATATTTCATTATATAGACACACCATGATTTGCTTATGCATTCTTCATGTGACAGACATTTGGGTTGTCCCAAGTTTTTGACTGTTATGAATGCAGTTTCCATGAAAATTCCGTAGTGGTCTTTGTGCAGATATTTGATTTCGTTTTTCTTGAATAAATCACCTAAGAGTGGCATGTCTGGATGGGTAGGTGCATTGTGTAGATTTTTAAGAAACTGCCAAATGGTTTTCCAAGGCAGTTGTACCATCTTGCATTTTCACAAGCAGTGGATTATAGTTCCAGTTCCTCCGTATCCTTGCTTGACTATATCTTTGCTCTCTTTTTCTCATGTCTAGCATCCCATTCATCAGCAAGTTCTGTTGCCCAAACCTTCAAAATATACCTAGAATCTTACCCCTTTTCATCCTATGACTGTGACCATTTTGGTCTGAGACATTCTCACCTCTCATTGGATTTTTTGCAATAGTTTCCTGCTTGCACCCTTGTTTTCTTCAGTGTTCTCAACACAGCAGTTGAAATAAACCTGTTAAAATATAAGTAGCTTCTATCACTCCACTGTTTTGTTTTGTTTGAGACAAGGTCTTGCTCTTTCACCCAGGCTGTCATAACTATAGTTC